GTAGGCATATAAAAACCAATGATAGTGAAAGCCATTGACAAATTCCAATTTAAATTCATAAGAAGGCACATTGAAATTATAAGGAATACGGTATAATCCACTTACAATATCCGAAGAATAATTGCAGTCAACTCTTGCCCTATACCCATAAATTGCACGGTTTAAAACACAGGTCCAAATTGGAATAGTTTTGGACATGCTGTCAGGAAATCTCTTCCCTTTCCTTGTCGAATCAACAATCATGCATCCTCCCTGCTGTCCTACCAATCAAAAAGCACAGAGTAGTCACTATACATTATAATATTAAAGAAAATGACTCAACAGATCAACATATGCAGGCACTACACTGATTCAGAACACAGCACATACTTGAAACTAAATCCCATAGTAACGCCAAATTGAACTCAAACATTGCACTATACTATAAGTTCAAGTTTGTATGGAAAACCTACGGAACGTTGTCCTTGCAAATGATGAACTCAAAGAGCATAATATGCCTTTCATCCACCATATAACTCAATAGCTCAACAAGTTATTTACAATAATCAACTTATTAATGTACAGTTAGCAAGAAAATATAGTATCCATGAGTGAGGAACTATCTATTCAATATTACAACTTCTTACATTTGTATTCTCACTTGTTTCACATAAACAACAAAGGGATCAACAATCTAATCTTTTAAAACCTATTAACTGTGTTATGTTGATTTTTAAATCACTTTGATATTGAAAATCTTTGAATCACCCCCTGACACATCAAAGAAGATCATGTTATGCATTGGATTCAAGTTTCTTGGTTGTCGAACAATTTCATCAATGTAGAATGATTAAAACTCACAGCTGACCAAAATTCCGCTATATACACCCCCATGTCAGCTGGTGGCCAATGGCAGAAATCCATCACGCAGAGCCATTCCATTATGGCAGTACCCTAATCGCCATTTAACAACATTGTGCGTAAAAGTCAACTTTGTCCCTTAGAAAGGACTCATGTGTGATATTTATTATAATTCAGACACTGCATAAAACATAAATTTCCACAACACTGTATAGTGAACCCGACTGGTAAGCCTGGGCGGATCTACATAGGGGCCCGTAGGGGCACGGGCCCCTGTAGAAAATTTTAGTAATATAGTGTATATATATATTATATGTATAATGTATTACTATATTGATATAAAAAAATACATGTTATTCATTATTATGTAAAGTCAATTCAATACAAAAAAAAAAATAAAAAGATTTTTAGAATTATTTAACCAATATGTTATTTTTTAAGTTGTGAAATTTATTCTTATGCTATACTCAACATCTTATTTATTTTCTTTTTCCTCCCAAAATACATAAAAAAAAAAACAAATATTATACATAAATGTATATACTATGTCGGGATTGGATCAAATGTGTCCCTATTCTTGAAATGAGAATGTGAGACTCAACCCTAGCTATTAAATAAGTCAGGTCAAAATTTAATCTTTTTATTTTTTTAATTAGTTAAATATTGATTTGACTGTTGACTTTAGGCGTTGACTGTTGACCGTAGTTTGTGCCCCCGTCGTCCTTAAAGTCTGCGTCCGCCCCTGCGGTAAGTAACACCAATAACTCATCATCCTATAGCCCATTTGCAACGAGGGCTCCAGCAGGATTTTATCATTTACAGGACAAATTATCCCAACATGACATTCACTCATAGATGATGGAGAACGAGGTAGACCAGCTTATTATGTTCTTGCCATGCCAGATGGCTAATACTCAACATGAGAAAGCCTACACTATTTTTTCGAATCTGACATCTTGCCTGCACTAGTTATTTACGATATCAGTCTTTTCAAAATAAATGCTGGTCAACCCTAAGTTCTGGTTCTCTACTTAGGAAAAGACAGCAGTTTATGGTTAATGTGGTTGCAATTATCCTACAAATCAACAACTCTGTGTTGATAATCTGTGCACTTACGGCTAGGAATGTCCAAAAGCAACAATTTTATGGGATTTCAAGTGACTAATTATGATGGAATTATATTTCATTGATCAACAAAGAAATAAACAATCATCAGATATGGAATTCCAAAACCCATATTCTGAAGATAGTAATTCTAGGACATTGCTAAGAACTGGAATTTGGAATATGATGAATTTATCACATGCTTGTTTACTTCCATGTCAACATTTTGTGATCTATGGTGTGTGAGAACTCCCTGTGAATTGTGGAAATATGTTCCTAGACTTTATTAGGTTATGAAATGATACTATCTTATTGAAGTAACCAATGATTCGTAATCATAAATTGAACTTTTCAACTAAAATAATCTTTCAAATTGCAGAAGTCAATATTTATTCCTTGATTGGCGTAGAAAAAGGTAGAAAATTTCCGTAGATCATGAGCAATCACATATGTAGCACAGGAAAACCACTTTTTCTCATAGCTAAATGATAACAAAGCAATACTATCAATCAATGGATTAACAAAATGAGAATAAGTGGGCATATTTGCACATACAATAAAAGCATACAAATGTATAGATACAGAACACACACACACACACACACGAGAGAGAGAGAGATACCAGCAAGGACGGCAACGTGGAGATTGAGACGAGAAGTGCTGAAAGACAAATTGTTGGTGTGGCCATCAGTGGATTTAAAGTAGCAATTGGAGTGGAATTTAGGGTAGTACCAAAGGCCACATCGGAGGTTGGCGAGCAGAGGCAGGTCCGGCCACAACTGAGAGATTTCTCCGACAAAAATGGAGTCCTCGTAGATGGAGCGTAAGGCATTGTAGAGACTGCTCTCTCTGCGTTTTATCGTCCTTGATATTTTGTATATAGTTTGCCTCTCGTCCTCCATCGCTGCTTCTCAGTTCCCAATTATGAGCCACTGTATTTCTCAGACACATACAAATCCCCTCTGCCACACCAACGACGACCAAACAACATGATATAGAATAGACAGCTCAGCCTCAACCTGGCTTTTGGTAGCTCGATTTTGGACTCGAGCTCCTTAGCTTGATTTAGACCAAGTTTATTCACAACCCAATTCAAGTCAGTCTCAACCGGGCTTTTGGTAGCTCGATTTTGGACTCGAGCTCCTTAGATCGACTTAGACCAAGTTTATTCACAACTCAATTCAATTCCAATTTATTAACGGTCCAATTTAATTCCAATCCAATCAAATCCAACCTAACTTAATAATAAAATATTGTTTCTCTCTCTTTTATCTACAGAACTCAACTTATCTTTATCTTGAAGTGGGGTGTTGGGGTTCTTGAAGTGGGGAGTTAGGTTCCAGGTTAAAGATGGGGCTAATATCTCAGTGTGGGAGCATCCTTGGCTTCCAAGAGAAATCAACCCCACTCCTACTTGTTGTTTTGAGGGGGATAGAACTAGAATTCACAAGGTGAGAGAGCTTATGTCTGAGGATGGGGGTATGTGGGATAGAGATCTAGTGTTGCAGACCTTGTTGTAGTTCTTTTTTACCGGAGTAGAATCGAAAGATTCGAACACCGGGTCGTGTCTCAAGGAAGGTCAGCCGGATTATCTTGTACGAATATTCAATCACAAAAAGAGAAATTAAATCCTAAACACTCTAATTCAATTGGTTGGTTTTAATTATCAACTACGCGATTAACAACTAATGATACTCAAACAAGCAATTCCAATTTCACACTCCAAAACACAATTCAAAGAATGATAAGAAGGACTAAGGTGTCGGGGACAATCATTTCCGGTTCTCAATACATTAAACACCAATCGATCACTCGGCCAAAGGACACGAAAAACTCACTCATTCAGAGATTCATCCTCAATAACTCACATAACAAGAGAATAAACGTAAATGAACAATTATCGAATCAATTAGCACATAGACAATACGTCTCCGAACAAGTCTATTCTAAACGAGCCTAGAACAATCGATTCCTCCCCTTTCGGTTCTAAGAATCGATTTAGTAGATTAAAATGGTGATCAATCAAATCAACCCTAGGTTTAACACAACTCGAATAGATTGAGCAATTCAATAATCACACAAACAAAATTGAACCGGAACAATTATCCCCTAGCCCTAGTTAACGAATTTAGCTACTCATCATCAATTCAACATCAACATCAATATCAATCAAAGCCATCATCATCACAGATAAAATGAAATAGAAAGCTTACGATTGAAGTATGAATCCAATGTCGGAAAAACAACGAACAATCCAAATCCACAAGTCGAATCTTGGTGTTTTCACAATCCATGATCAAATTCCAATCAAAACTAAGAGAAATATGAGTTCTGGAGTGAAAAAGTACGAGAGAATGATAAAACCTAGGTGGAAGATAATGAAAATCGGATCTAAAATCCGTATTTATTTTTCTGCACGTCGCGACCTCCGCGGCCGCGGTGAAGGAAGGTCCGCGGCCATGACGATAGCCGAGGCCGCGACATCTTCATGGCAGAAATGGGACTGTCGGGAACCTTGCGGCTGCGACCTCACCTCCGCGGCCGCGGTGAAGGATTTCCTGCACAGGTTCTCGGGTTCGTGTTGAGCTCGTTTCAACTCAGAATTCGATTATGCTTTTTCCTGTGTTCCCAACGAACTCCTCTATTTGATTAGGCTTGCCCAGCTAGTATTTTTCTGAGCTCCTGCTCTCCCAAGACTTCCAACCTATGCATCAATGACGACAAACAAAAAAAGGGAAAATGAACGGAAAAACAAGAAGAGAGCAAACGCTAAATAAACTATAAAATGAACTAAAAACTCATCTAAACGACCTAAAATGGGGAAAAATAAAAACAAAAAGACAACGAGAAACGCAACAAAAATGGGACAAACAGACCTTCCAGCAAGCTGATGTTGAGTGTATTCTGAGTATTCCCCTATCTATAATGGGTAGAAAGGATAGATACATCTGGTTCTTTGGGAAATATGGGCAACTTAGTGTCAAAACAGCTTATGAGACATTTGTACATAGGGCTTTGAAGAGTAGGGGTGCTGCTAGTTTTAGCAAGGGTTCTAATATTAAGAAGAGAGTGTGGAGAGTCACTTGAAAACTTCCTGTCAAAAATAAGATCAAGCAGTTTCTGTGGAGATGCAGGTCTCAGTACTTAAGCACTAAAGATCAACTTGCAAGGAAAAATCTGATTAAGGACACTACATGCACTCTTTGTGGGGTAGAAGGTGAGGACCTTGATCACATTTTATTCAGCTGTACCAGAGCCAAACTTGTCTGGGCACTCAGTGGAGTTGACTGGAGTTGCTTGTCTCAAACCAAGCCTAATTTCAACTTTTGGTGGAGGGAAATCTGCATTGCTGGTCAGAGTGATTATATTCAAGATAGAGCCTGTTTATCATCATATATTTTGTGGTGGCTCTGGACCAGAAATGTGTGGGTTATCCAGCATAAAAGAGTTCCTGAGAGGCTGATAGCTGAAGGAGCAAGGGCAGAATGGATAGAATTTAATGAAGCAAGGGTCACAGGGCCTCTTAAGGTGATGACAAGGACACAACAACAGGAAGTTCATGTGGAGAAATTTTCTAGGAGGTAGGACATTGGTTTATCAATGTCAGTGCCTCACACTCTACCATGAACAACTTAGAGCTGCATGCTTCTGCTGACAAAGAAGGAGAAAAGGTACAAGAATGGGCAGAAAACATACACTACAATGGCTGCAAAGAAGGAAGGGAACTCTATGCAATAAAATGGGAAATGGAAAAGGCAAAGCGGACTGCTTGGAGGAAATGCTATTTCAAATCCCAAAGCAAAAGTATTTGCTGGAAACTCAATAGAAATTTGAGGCAGTTTGAGACTTGTTGCATTACTTTAGCAGCTGATATTTAGATCCTGTACCTTTTTTTTACTTCGATTGAATTTGTATTATAGGATCTGATTTTCTTTGGACTTTGTTTATGTTGTTTGGGTTTCGGATGTGAGTGTAAGGGGTTGCATGTAGACTCCCCTGTGATATTTTCTACTAGTTAGTAGCTCGGTTGTAAGACTTTTTCTGAGTTGAATGCATTTAAATTGTCGTTGGAAAAAAAAAAAAATTATCTTTATCTTCATCCCAACCCAACTTAAAATATCTATTTTATTTTTATTTATTTATTAAATATTATCTATAATTAATTTTTGTTTTTGTTATAGTTGTGACAAATTAATTAAAAAATCTATAATTAAAGTTGTAATAATATAAAAAAATTATTTTACCATACAATTAAAAAAATACAAACCCAATTTAAATTTAAATTACAATAAACAAGTAATAAGGTATTTGTTGGAATTGTGAGTTGAGATAATATTCAATATTTTGATCCATATTGTATTTGTTGGCAAATTTTAAGAGTTGAGATCATATTCAAAATTTGGATTCATATGATATTTGTTGGATATTAGAAAAAATGGAAGGGATGATAATATTAATAAGGTAGAATTAGAAAAGGAGTGAAAAGAGAAATTGCAATTGTGTTTCAAAACCTAGAATTATCATTTACCAAAAATAGTAGCAAAAAAATAAGTTAGAATTTAATGCAGCCTATAAATAGTAAGTACTATTATTTTTCTTATTTTTTTCTTTAAATATCATACAACATTAAATGTTACCTTAAATGTCGGGCTTTAGTTCATTTTACAATTTAAAAAATCCGGCTAAGATTTATTAAGTGTGTATGTTTTTATTTTTATTTTTTTTCTTAGAAACAACGAGCAACATTAAAATCTCGGTCTCTATATTTATAAAACCTCAATTCAAAATATAATAACAGTTTTAGAATCTCGGTCTTTATATTTGTGCCTTAAAAAAATATTAAACGCTAAAAATATTCTTTAAATTGCATAATCAATCAATTAATCTTAATTTTTTTTAAAATTACTATGTTTATTTTTTATTAATATGCATAAAGTAAAAATAATTAATTCATCTTTAGATACATAATTTATAATCTTAATATACTATCATTTGATGTAGACATTTATTATATGAATCATAAAATATTTTTATTTCATAAACTTAAATATATTTAAAGATATTAAGAATTTTCTTTCAAATAAATAGGGTGATTGAATTAGGTTACTGCACAAGTTGATTAAATTATTTTTAGGTGATATTTAAAATAGTCGAAAAAACTTGACACAACTTGGTTGATCACAATTCCCAAGTGACTAAGTTATGTATCAGTTCGACTACTCCAAATCGATTATTGAACGTAAATATAAATTGTATATTGAAAATATTTTATTACGTGAATGTGATATAGTCTAAACTTCAAATAATCGTATTAACAATACTTTTATGACAACATGTTCAATGATTTATGAATATTTATATATCATTTTATTAGTATTTATGTGAATTAAATAATATTTTATTATAATATTTATTAATGTAGAGTAAATATAAGGTTTTTAGAACTGGACTGTCATCGAAACAATCAAGCTTTTTTACTAAATCATTTGTGGTTTGTTCAGATTTTAATTTATAAACATTTTAATATATATAGTATTTGTTGTAATAAATTTAAATAAAATGTGTTCATTACTTAAAATAAGCATGAACGTAAAATATATGTAAAATTACCTAAATACTCATAATAGACAAAATTTTAATTAGAGTGGGCTGAGACTCGAGCAAGATGGACTCATCAAGCTTGAGCAGTTGTCAAAAAATTGAGTATGACTCAATTAGTCCAACGTTCGGCTCGACTCGACTCGTTTGCAATTCTATTGATTAGAATAAATATTGATTAATATTATTCTTATTTTTAATTTAATAAAATCCACATCCATATAATGTATCAATCCATATAGCCATAATTGTACAGTTTTGGACGAAAAAAAAAGATCGTCTATTTAACATTTAATTAATCTTTATTTATTAAAAAAATTAATTTATAAAAGATCAATTAATTTTTGTGTACTCAATGGCTAATATTTGTTAAATATAAATTGACTTAAATAATACTATTTTGGATGTAGATGGATTAGATATATTTTCAATAAGATCTGTATATTAATTTTCATAGTAATTTATTGATTAAATATATTATCACCTATGATTGTATATATTAATTTAATATTACTTATATATACTTACAAAATATAAGTGCAATTACTAATGAGAAATTATATAGCTTTGGACCAATGTATTGGTTTGATCTATATTTTTATATTATTATTATTTTTTTAAATTTAACAAATATTTTGGTTGTCATCAATTTTTTAAGGTAAACTGTATATTATTAATGATAAGAAACCCCGTAAATATACATCTATGTCTATATATTATATGTCCATATATTATTTAAGGAAAAATTACATTAATCAATTGAATAACCTTTGTTTTTGTCTTTTGCATTACTAAATAAGTAAATATTTTGATCATATATATAACTCAATGTCTATTGGTCATTTTAACCACTTTTTATATATAAAATAATAAATTAATTATTTTAATATAATTTTTTTTTATTTAGCACTCATAAATAACTTATTTGTATATTTTATATTAACATTTTTAAAATGGGTTTTCCATGCCAATAATGCAACATGGTCTGAATATACCATGTCAACATTTTTATTGAATGACCACTCTTATTTTCCCATTAAATGATAAAAGAAAAAATATAAATATCACTTATGTCTTTGGTTGAATGCATTTTTAAAATTTTTAGAAAAAAATAGGTTAGATTCCTAAAAATATTACCTAGAAAGAAAAAATTCAGATAAAGATGTTACATTTAATAGTAGTAATATGTACATAACTGATTTTTTAAATGTAACTTTACGATTTTGCTGTAAATTATTTTAATATGTTGTGTGTCACCTTAATATATAAGTTTAATATGTAATTTACTGTTAACTTTAGATCATAACCAGTACTAATAATTTTAAAAATAACCAATCACAAAGATATAGATATTTAATTTTATATAGCTAGGAACGGTCGACATATATATAATGTTGAGTACAAGTAATTTCTCATAATAAACAATACCTTAATTTAAATTTTATTCATATAGTGGAATTCAAACTTTAAGTTATTTTTATAATATAATTAAATTACCTTCGCCTGCATGCACGGGAAAAATAGTACTACTTACTTCATTAATAACGAGCACGAAGTACAAAATCGCCGGTCACGCGGAGCAAAGACTGGCGAATAAACCACGATATTGACCACTTTAAACTTGGTCCTCTAATTTGAATTCGAATTCGAACATGAATAGTGTTTAGTATTCGAAATTTATTCGAATATGAATACGAATATGCACATATTCAATTTGAAATTATCGAATGTTCGATTCTTTAATAATGAATATATATAATTTAATATATTATATCAAATATAAGATTCTACATAAGATTTATCAATATTATATATATAATATATTAAATATATATATATATATATAACACAAAAAATATATTTATATTTAAAAAAAAACATATTAATTTATTTGAAAAATATATTTATATATATATTATTCAAAAAATATATTTAAAAAATACATAAATATATTTAAATATTTATAACTAATTTTTTAACAAAATAAATAACAGAAAACAAAAAAAAAACAAAAAAATGACTGCAGGGTGCAGACATTACATAATCAATTATCATTCACATTGTACAAACAACTACCTGCTACAAACATCTATATTCACAAGTGCAAAATGACAAAGTGCCAAAAGTTGTCTCTCTCATACATAAGATCGTGATGATTTCAGCCAAGATCAAGAACTGTGAAGAACTCTTCATTGTCTTCCTCCTGGATTTCGAGCCTCGACTTTTTGTGAGCTGAATATAATTTGGGTTGTTTGTGGGAAGGCATGTTATGGCTGGCTTGAGTAAATGGCAGCTGAGGTACTTCTGATGCAGCTAAAGCCTCCCCTAAAATATGTTCGCCAAAGAGGTTCATGTCACTCAACCGCTCTAACTCATTAAACGCGAGCTGTCCCTTCTCGACAAAATTCCAACAACTAAATCAGTACAAGTTACAAGAATGAGAAAGAGAGTAAGTTTATAAGGGAAACAAATAAATAAACAAACAAAAAGTGCAATACACAAAAGCTAGGGAAATGCCTCATTGTGGAAAGGAATATGCAATCAGAGAATGGATATAAACTCATCAAAATCAGGAGCTTCGTAAAGTAAGTTTTCACTTTATTTTTCTGCTTTTGGATCACAAGAAAAAAGAGATTTCAACCTGCATACCTTGTCCCAAAAGAAAAGGTGGGCACACTGGTCAGGTTTCTTTGCACAGGCAATTGTTATTCGAAAATATCGAAAAAAAAAACACCTATTATACTCCTTTTTCTACTTATCGCCATCTTGCACAAAATGTTGTTCATTAACTGCGACTATTTATCATACCTTGTCTGAGGATTCATAATCAGAAAATTGGAGCAAATCATCAACAACCCAAGAAGGTGACATGATGCCAACAGAAACATGTTGCGAGACAGTCACTTTTCACATTTTTTAAATAGAAAATAAAGAAAATATGTCTAATGCATAGAGTCATAATAATATTTCGATGCACAAAAGGTTTATATAATACTTTGTTCTACCAATCAATCGGAAAGAGAGAATTTCCATAACATAATTTGCACTTTCAAGTTTCAACAAGTCAACAATGGGAAACTATTATTCAAGCTTGCAAAATAAATCAGATGCCAATGTCATCCAGGGCATGACCACAACACAACTAAGCTCAAATATGCTGATATGTATATATTAAACAATATAGAAGCATGTGAACCAATCAGTAAACATAGAAAATCAACCAGAAATGAGTAGCAGAACCACAAAATTAAGCTTTAAAACAGTCCACCCGTGTCCAAGACCAACAATAATCCACTCAAATTCATTGACTTCTAAACCTAGAGTAGCTAAAATCCACACAGACAACCTAATACCCAAAAAAGACACACACACACACACATACAAATTTAAAGTGAGCAAGATAGAATGATGAAAATTTAAATTCACATCAAAATTACCTGTTACAGCTCATAATTATTGTAACACATAATTACCTGTGAAGTAGGAGACTCTGAAAATCACTGATAAATCTTCTCAGATGTTATGGTCCAACAAGCCTTCTTAGTAGTCCTTCCAAATCAGTCAATCCACAACTCTTGCAATCTTTATCGGCCCATGAAATTAACTATCTGCAGCACAAACTTCATGACTATGCATCCTCCTGACTCATCTTCCTGTTAGCCCTCTTTGTCTTGTGGCCAATTTGCCTATGAGACGATCACCCATTGCCAATGAGAAAATTCCCATTAAGTTCTGTACTTTTATGGATCTGCACAAGGTTTGGAACTGATTTCTATGAATTTGAATGTTTTGCTGCTTAAGAAATTTGCTCCAAGTGCAGATGTGGGAATGTAAGTTCCACCAATCATCCAAAAGGCTTTGTCTGTGCAATTTTCTGTAGATCCAATTGGTAAGGAGCTCATGTAGCTGAGGTTAATTTCTTCCATATATGCTTCTAATGTATTTTTCAAATCAGTTGTCTGTGATAGTTATCTCAATAGTCATTATGCAATGCAGGTTTTTTTTTTTTTTTTTTTTTTNTATGCAATGCAGTTTTTTTTTATAGCTAGATGTGAGTCTATTCTTTCTCTTAAGAGATGATTCATTTTACTAAACCAAACTTAATATATATACATGATAGAGAAAAAAACTTATGAGCTAATTAAATAAATTATAAGTTGATTTATGGTGTCAACACTTTTAATTTGTATAACATATTTTAATTCTATTCCTACTTCTTGGATTCTCAAAATGACAGTATTTGACTCCCAGAAGAGATTCTTGTAAAAATACTAAAATGTCAAATTAGTTATTAGTTTCTTAATGACAATAAGTGTTAAGGCCATAGTTATTAGTTTCTTAATGACAATAAGTGTTAAGCCTATGGCCTGGAATTAGGCTGGTCCCATCATTAAACTAATCTAATCTACTTAAACAGCTCCCTGACGAGGCTTAATAATTCAACATTAGCTAATGTTAATTATTCTATTGATTTGACTTAGTTTAGATTGGCTACACTTATCAAATTTTTTACATTAGGCAGCGGCCAAAATTATCTGCCCTTGTTCCTTTCGCAACATTTTTTGAAAGCACAAATTTATAATCTGTATGAATATATAATTAAAAACCAATATGTTAAAAAAATTGTTTAATATGACATAAGTTACAGAAATTCACAGTTTGGAGTCATTTATGATAAGACAGTTAAGTCCCTTTTGGCCTCACATATGATGTCATTATTGATAGGTAAAGGATTATTATTCCCCGAGAACAAAGTTTTATTGACGTCTCTGAAGTTGAATTTTGTCAAATAATTTGAAAGCAGTTGTTGGTTGTGTCACGTGTCAATAAATGTTGAGATAGGCACACAAATTGCTCTTAAGAATCAACCTGCTCGAAAGCCAAAATAATAGAAAAAAGTTATCTGCAGAGAAATTGTTTTTTTTTTTAAGAAAAAAAAATCTTTGGTTTGAGAGCTCTTGTTATATATTAGGTGTGGTTGCATTGGCTATTTAGTTGCTGGAGAAATTGGACTTTGGAATTTACAGTCAATTTTCCTTTTTGTGTATTTGTGTTCCTGCCATATTTGAGTTTTGTATTCTGTAAATTTTTGTGGTGCTTGATGTGAATATGCTTAGTGTGGCTCTTATTTGTGTATTGTTTCGTGTTTTTCTTTTGTCATTAGTTTGGGCGTTGCTACAGGTATGTTTGTTTTCTTAATAAAGAAAAGGTAATTTGGACGTTGCAGATACGTGCGGTTGAAACTTCTAAGGAAATCGAGAAATTCCTAAGGGAAAATCTTCGGTCAGAAATATTGACCTTATTCTTGCAAGACTGGAGGCACCAAAAGGATTGAGCGAAGCGTCAGTCGGGGGCTTATTGCGTGAGTGGAGGCTCAAGAGTAGAAACATCTGTAAGTAGCATGCCAAGCCTTTTCCTCTTTGCTATTCTCAATGTTGCAAATGTGAGCCCAGAAATCAAGGTTTTCCATCCTGGAGTTTCAAGAAGATTAACAAAAAGATATAACCTTTTGGTTTCATATACGAGAAGTCGGCCAATTGAGGTGCTGTTGGCAGTTGCTCCCCTTTACCTTGAGAAGTCTCTTTCTCCCTCTGTTCTTAATATAATATATATAATGGGTTTATTTTGTTACTATATTGTCTTGTTTATTTGATACTTGAGATGTATCTTATGGTTGGGTTTGGTCACTTGCCTTTTCTTCATATATAGTGGATTTATACTAATGAATATGTACTTTGAGGTAATATACAGTAGTCAAAGATTGTGGGTATGTCCTTCAGTTATATTCATATATTTATGGATTGAACTGAATGGATTTACCATTGATCATATGCAGTAGATTTTGGGAAAGAGTGCATTTTTTAGATATTTTATATGGGTTATTGCTTCAGTTCAGCTTGTGTGTTATTATTTTCTTTGTGATTAAGATCATCTTAAAATTAGTTTATGTTTGATGTGTGTATCCAGTTTCTATACACTATGGTGTGATTCCTTTCAAGCTTAAGATGTATATAAGAGTTTTTAGTTATCAAATTTGAATGTGTTGTGGAGATTGATGGTTGCTTTCATACGATCAATCAAACAATTTATTCTACTGTTGTGTGTTGCTACTAGATACATTCTCAAGTAATTTGGGGGATAACTTTATGGTTACTTTAGCCATATGGACGCTAATGTGTTGGATGATCGTTATTATCTTCAAACTTGGAGTTAGAAATAATACAAAACATGTTTATTCAGTACTTTGCTTAATCTTGATAAATTCAGCCAAGTGGTAGATAACGTCTTTAATTAATAACCAATAAAACAATAGATATAAAAAACAACACTACATCAAGTAGTTTTATGTAAGCCGAAATGACCAAAGTCATAATGAATTAAGCCTTGGTTTGCATGTTCAAGAATCACATAATAAATCAAGACTTAGTTTGGAATTTCAAGGGAAGTATGTTTCAACGATTTATGTGGCCCAGTGAGTGCATTATATAGTCAGAGCAACAAAATCCACAAGCATCTACAAAAAAAAAAGGTTTATTAAATACACAAATTCTATAGTTAATTATCGATTAAATTGGGTCCGACTGTGCGTGCACAACCATAACCCCACTTGTATATATATATATATAAAAGTAATAATCTTCTATTCTTAATTTCATCTTGTCCTAAATTGTTGTGCATGTCCTTACTTAGTTACATGGAATTTGATATTTTCTGGAATTTTTTCCCTATTTATATATATATATATATATATATATTTCTTTCTGATGAAAGATGAACTGAAGAAAAAGAAAAAGGTGGACAACTAAGGGAAAATATAACCTTTAACATTTATATACATTCTCAACCAGACAAGAAAAAAATTCATGGGTTGGACCACAAAAAAATATTAACCAAACAAGATAATGTAGTCACATATACACTCACGGAAGCCCGAAAGAGATAATATTAAGCCCAATAACCAAACACATCCTACATAAACATACTAAGCTCAAAGGGATGCTACATCTCACAAAATATATAGAAACACCACCATGTAATTAAGCTACTCCATCACATATCCTTTTTCCGTATACTTACGGAAAGACGCCGAAAGCTGAGTGTTTTTAGAACACATCAGTTTATAAGCGTCGATAAAAAAACTAGGCCAAAATGCTGTGATCATCAAATCCAAACCTCTTATAAGGTCGTTGTCCAGCTTAGTGAGCATCGCATTCGAACCTTTTACCTTGAAGGCGTGGACACGGAAATTCCTAATTGCTCTCAAAAGAACGAAGGGAAGAGTAAACAAATCTTTTTTATCTGATGCTTCAAGTCCAGACTCCAAGTCTGCCTTAAAGTCAGCGGGAACATCTTTTATGTCTCGAGCTTTAACTTTGATAGCATTGAAATCTCTGACAAAGGAAATTCTCACTACTGCATCCGAAATTCTATTGATGTATTCAAAAGAATCTACTAAAAATTGCAACCTCTTCAAGGAACTCCAGAAAAAGGGATGATTGAGAATTTGTTCACTTGGAGGCCTTGCAATAAGAAAGCTATTTAGAACCACATGCCAGGAAATCAATATAAGAAAAAAAAAATAATATAAGAATAAGCGATACAGGCCATCCATCAACCGAGAAAATAACTACACCTTGCCGGAGTGGTGAAAAACGGACGACAAGAAGAGATTTCAACTAAAAACAGCCAAAACTGAAAACAAAAATATACAAAACTTCTAAATTCTTCACTTACCCTGTTGAAAGATGTGAAATCAGATGAGCGACTTCTTTTTCAAATATGGGCTCTCCACCCGCCGTTCCCAAAATTCCTTCTCTCTCAAACACAGGCAGTCCACTAATAATGGGTTGTGACCCATTTCCCACCAGGTCCGGATCAGCGTTGGGGCCGCCAAAAAAATTGCAAGGGCTTGTGAGAGATCCATAACGTCCGGTCAAGGTGTCGGCAAATCTAACAAAAAAAATTAATCCAAACGTTAAATAACAAAGATTACCAACAATTAAAATAAATTACATTATTAACCTTACCTTCTACGGCCTTAACCCCTCCACTATCAATCTCTAGCAAACCTGTAACTTCGGAAAACACAAAAGAACGACAATTTAGCAGCTCCGTGTGCAAATACCCACACTTGTGGATGAATGCTAGCGCCTGAACCAATTGAGTGACCGCCATTTTGGTGGTACGAAGGGTACCATACTTTGATAATTCCATTGCTTTTCGAAAGTCATGCTTATCATCACCTACGGGTTTGCTCGTAATGTTAGGATGTAACTTCAGTCGCTCCATGAGGGGATGGTTGCTAGTTCGAGATTTTAGGGTTTAATTCCCTCTTCACAGTCAAATAATGGCGTGTCCGCATTTTAGGGACGCGCCTCCGAAACGAGAGTGGGCCGGCCCAATTATATTGGACACTCAGGTTTGTAGCCCAACTTCTTCTCAACTATGCATAGTTTAAACCCTAAAATCTCGAACTAGCAACCATCCCCTCATGGAGCGACTGAAGTTACATCCTAACATCACGAGCAAACCCGTAGGTGATGATAAGCATGACTTTCGAAAAGCAATGGAATTATCAAAGTATGGTACCCTTCGTACCACCAAAATGGCGGTCACTCAAATGGTTCAGGCGCTAGCATTCATCCACAAGTGTGGGTATTTGCACACAGGGCTGCTAAATCGTCGTTCTTATGTGTTTTTCGAAGTTACGGGTTTGCTAGAGATTGATAGTGGAGGAGTTAACGCCGTAGAAGGTAAGGTTAATAATGTAATTTATTTTAAGTGTTGTAATCTTTGTTATTTGACGTTTAGATTAATTTTTTTGTTAGATTTGCCGACACCTCGACCGGACGTTAAGCATCTCTCACATGCCCTTGCAATTCTTTTTGGCGGCCTTAAGGCTAATCCGGAGCTGGTGGGAAATTGGTCACAATCCATTATTAGTAGACTGCCTGTGTTTGAGAGAGAAGGATTTTTGGGAACGGCGGGTGGAGAGCCCATATTTGAAAAAGAAGTCGCTCATCTGATTTCACATCTTTCAACAGGGTAAGTGAAGAATTTAGAAGTTTTGGATATTTTTGTTTTCAGTTTTGGCTGTTTTTAGTTGAAATCTCTTCTTGTCGTCCGTTTTCCACCACTCCTGCAAGGTGTAGTTGTTTTCTCGGTTGATGGATGGCCTGTATCGCTTATTCTTATATTTTTTTTTTTCTTATATTGATTTCCTGGCATGTGGTTCTAAATAGCTTTCTTATTGCAAGGCCTCCAAGTGAACAAATTCTCAATCATCCCTTTTTCTGGAGTTCCTTGAAGAGGTTGCAATTTTTAGTAGATTCTTTTGAATACATCAATAGAATTTCGGATGCAGTAGTGAGAACTTCCTTTGTCGGAGATTTCAATGCTATCAAAGTTAAAGCTCGAGACATAAAAGATGTTGTTCCTGCTGACTTTAAGGCAGACTTGGAGTCTGGAATTGAAGCATCAGATAAAAAAGATTTGTTTATTCATCCCTTCGTCCTTTTGAGAGCAATTAGGAATTCCCGTGTCCACGCCTTCAAGGTAAAAGGTTCGAATGCGATGCTCACTAAGCTGGACAACGACCTTATAAGAGGTTTGGATTTGATGATCACAGCATTTTGGCCTAGTTTTTTTATCGACGCTTATAAACTGATGTGTTCTAAAAACACTCAGCTTCCAGCGTCTTTCCGTAAGTATACGGAAAAAGGATATGTGATGGAGTAGCTTAATTACATGGTGGTGTTTCTAAAAACCCATTATATATATTATATTAAGAACAGAGGGAGAAAGAGACTTCTCAAGGTAAAAGGGAGCAACTGCCAACAGCACCTCAATTGGCCGACTTCTCGTATATGAAACCAAAAGGTTATATCTTTTTGTTAATCTTCTTGAAACTCCAGGATGGAAAACCTTGATTTCTGGGCTCACATTTGCAACATTGAGAATAGCAAAGAGGAAAAGGCTTGGCATGCTACTTACAGATGTTTCTACTCTTGAGCCTCCACTCACGCAATAAGCCCCCGACTGACGCTTCGCTCAATCCTTTTGGTGCCTCCAGTCTTGCAAGAATAAGGTCAATATTTCTGACCGAAGATTTTCCCTCAGGAATTTCTCGATTTCCTTAGAAGTTTCAACCGCACGTATCTGCAACGTCCAAATTACCTTTTCTTTATTAAGAAAACAAACATACCTGTAGCAACGCCCAAACTAATGACAAAAGAAAAACACGAAACAATACACAAATAAGAGCCACACTAAGCATATTCACATCAAGCACCACAAAAATTTACAGAATACAAAACTCAAATATGGCAGGAACACAAATACACAAAAAGGAAAATTGACCGTAAATTCCAAAGTCCAATTTCTCCAGCAACTAAATAGCCAATGCAACCACACCTAATATATAACAAGAGCTCTCAAACCAAAGATTTTTTTTTTTTCTTAGAAAAAAAACAATTTCTCCGCAGATAACTTTTTTCTATTATTTTGGCTTTCGAGCAGGTTGATTCTTAAGAGCAATTTGTGTGCCTATCTCAACATTTATTGACACGTGACACAACCAACAACTGCTTTCAAATTATTTGACAAAATTCAACTTCAGAGACGCCAATAAAACTTTGTTCTCGGGGAATAATAATCCTTTACCTATCAATAATGACATCATATGTGAGGCCAAAAGGGACTTAACTGTCTTATCATAAATGACTCCAAACTGTGAATATCTGTAACTTAAATCATATTAAACAATTATTTTAACATATTGGTTTTTAATTATATATTCATACAGATTATAAATTTGTGCTTTCAAAAAATGCTGCGAAAGGAACAAGGGCAGATAATTTTGGCCGCTGCCTAATGTAAAAAATTTGATAAGTGTAGTCAATCTAAACTAAGTCAAATCAATAGAATAATTAACATTAGCTAATGTTGAATTATTAAGCCTCGTCAGGGAGCTGTTTAAGTAGATTAGATTAGTTTAATGATGGGACCAGCCTAAAATCCAGGCCATAGGCTTAGCACTTATTGTCATTAAGAAACTAATAACTAATTTGACATTTTAGTATTTTTACAAGAATCTCTTCTGGGAGTCAAATACTGTCATTTTGAGAATCCAAGAAGTAGGAATAGAATTAAAATATGTTATACAAATTAAAAGTGTTGACACCATGAATCAACTTATAATTTATTTAATTAGCTCATAAGTTTTTTTCTCTATCATGTATATATATTAAGTTTGGTTTAGTAGAATGAATCATCTCTTAAGAGAAAGAATAGACTCACATCTAGCTATAAAAAAAAAAAAAAAAAAAAAAAACCTGCATTGCATAATGACTATTGAGATAACTATCACAGACAACTGATTTGAAAAATACATTAGAAGCATATATGGAAGAAATTAACCTCAGCTACATGAGCTCCTTACCAATTGGATCTACAGAAAATTGCACAGACAAAGCCTCCTTTTGGATGATTGGTGGAACTTACATTCCCACATCTGTACTTGGAGCAAATTTCTTAAGCAGCAAAACAATCAAATTCATAGAAATCAGTTCCAAACCTTGTGCAAATCCATAAAAGTACATACCTTAATGAGAGTTTTCTCATTAAGTTGGATTAAGACCATTGGAAAAAACCCGAATAACAATAAAAATAATATGGTGAGTACTATAACCAAAAGGATAAATAACAAGATGCTTGACAAGAAAATAGAGAGAGCTTTATTACATTATTTTATTCTGAGCTGCTCACGAACATCTTAAAGGCCTCCTCTGGTAGAAGCAAAAAAAGAATAGTGTTAAGTTCCGTACAAATAAAATTGTTAATCAATAAATGTGCTAAATGAGACATGTAACTCTCACATGACCGAAAAAGTATTACTGCTGCATGAGTATATTCCTTATTGCTTTGTAGTCAAGTTTGCAAGAGAAACCATTGCATCTTCGGCTGGCCCGCCTAGAGAACCTACAATGCATTTGTGGTTATCTTGACAGAACTATTTATGCTGTTATGTAAATTGGAACTTAAAATTTTTCAAATCAAATCATTATTGTTATGCTCAGTAGCATTTCCTGGCATGTGGTTCTAAATAGCATTGGTGTTAACACACACTGTAAAGGAGCCAATGCCAATGACAAAAGAAAAACACAAAACAAGAAACAAATAAGAGCCGACACTAAGCATATTAACATCAAGCACCACAAAAATTACAGAATACAAAACTCAAATATGGCAGAAACACAAATACACAAAAAGACAAATTGACAGTAAAGTCCAAAGTCCAATTACTTCAGCGACTNGTAGTGAAACAATTTAAAACAAAAAAGTAAATCAATAAACAAATTAAGCCTCTAAATTTGGAGACCATATAACAATGAAGAAGTTAGCAGGATAATAATGAGCCACCCCTTTTGGTAACATGATATTTTCCTTCTTTCAGAAATGTTACATTTTCAACCAATTTTTTCATATCACCTCTCTATTTTCATTTCCATGTGAGATTCAAACTCACTTGATGTGTACCAGAAGTTGGGATCGACAAGATACAAGGGTTTGACAAAGAGAAAATCGGGGATATTTTCTGCCTCTATGCATAACTCTATTTGAAATCACCTTTGATCCACTAATATGGTAAACATAAATTGTGGATGGAGTTTAGAAGACCAATATCCCTAAATTGCAGAAAAGTACTATCGCAGTGGGGATTAATGTGAGAGATGAGTTTCATTTTCGTTTCGCAGAAAGGGACATGATCGATGGTTTGAGAGAGAGAATTGCGTTTAGTCTTTAGTGGTCGTGCCAGGAACTCCCTCATCTCCCTGCTCTAGCCTGATTTTTTTCAGAGTCACCAACCTGCTATTCCACATCTCAATATCACATATCTCATTAAAAAGCAGATCAAACAACTACTCCAACATACAGTTCTTGCAGACAACCTAAAACAGAGAGAATTCGGGAATATAAACCTATAGAATTCAAAAGCATAAAGCAAAAACCAGAAACATTACTTGTTGCCATTTCCCCCAAAATCTCTTGTGCAGATTCTATATGCGCAGGTTCTATAGTTGCAAGTGTTGGTCCGCTCACAAAATGAAGAAGGTGCCTCAAAGGTTTGTGAATTGGATGGCTCTGTCGGCGTCTATCTACCGGCTTCCTGAATTGATTGAACGTGACAAGAAAAACATGGCAGTATAGAGTTATTGTAATTTGTAGGGAAGTAGAAATATGATTCTCGGTAGGATTGATATTACCCATATTTTTCCATAAGTTGTAAAGAAAACAAAAAATGCTTGATGTACAACAAATTATATAAGTTCATGTGAAAAACGAACTAAACTTATATCTTTAAGGGATTATCAGTTGCTACAGCACATTAGAGCAATAACTACCATCAATCTCCAATTCAAGTATTTTTTACAGAATCAAGAACCAAAACCTATCCCAGAAAATGCAAAAGAAAAAGTGAAGTTCACCAGCTAATGTAAACAAGCCTAATGAACACCGGCAAATACAGAGCACCCTTACAACAAATTCCAGTAGTTCTAATTAATCACAACAAAAATCCACAATCCTTAGCACTTAATTATAAGAAAAAACCCATGAGAAGTGAGTTTACAACAAATTCCAGTAGTAAACCGAATGAGAGAATAGCTACAACAATAAAAATAAATAAGAAAACAAGTAAAATGGCGCACACCAAGAAAAATGGTACCTTGAAATTTGATTTTGGTCGCCTAATGTGTAGAGTATTCAGTATTTAATTCATTCAAGTAGAAAATATACGTGAGACTGAACCTTCAGTCAACCGAAATTCGGAGAAATTGACCATTTCCTCTCCTTGTGGCCTATCTCGACGGCCGCGCACGAGAAACAGGCCTTGGTACAGGTGTAGTAGATATAATTTTGTGAACGACCCAATAATCAGAGAATTGGCAGTGGACAAAAGCGTAATAATCTCCCGGTTCAAGTAGCAAGACTGAGACTCGCTCCATTTCGTAACGTTAAGCATGCAATTATCCGACTCAAATTTCAGCATGCTGCTTCTCAAAGCAAGCTTCCGGAAGGAATTTCGGCTTACGACTATCACCCCTTTATATCCACCGTATCGGATTTGGAAAGCTGATGGTACGTGAGTCAGACCGAGTTTTCGGACAATATCCTTAGCAAACGCGTAAGATATTTTCCCGATTCCATCCGAAAAGCAATATTTTACGGCATCATCAGAAACTATCTCAATATCGGGTATTCGGTCAATGTCCCTTGGGTGGACTTCGAAAGTTTGCATGGACGAGCTAAACAGTTGTCCCATTCGAGCAGCACATTTCGATATGCTTCGAATCTTTTTAAAACAGCCCATCCAATCTCTTATATCGTCCGCATTTATGTACTCGTTCGAGGCAAACATCCAGACGAAGTTCGAACGGAGTTGACTAGCAGAAAACGCTAAAAACTCGAATTTTTTGTCACCAATAGTAATACCATATCGAAGAACAGATACAATCCGATTATATATATCGGTTCGGAAGGGCTTTGCAAAGATTTCTTTTTTTTATAACAGTTGAGACAGTATGAGCCGAAAGCCTGCCCCAATCCTCATCTACAAAAGTGACCCTCAGAAAATCCGAAGCATACGAAGCGAATTTTTTTACAATGTGGTTTGAGGATTCGAGTTCCGGGCCCAAGCAGAAGATTCTGGAAGGGGTCACCAGTAGCCGGTGACAGCTCATCGTGTTCTGAGCGTTTAAGGACTTTGAACTTGACGATGTAAAACTTTTTTTTCCTCTGTGTCGGGTAACAGAAGATTGACTTTCGATGAATAATTTGGGTTCGAAACAAGTGGTGTGCAGTTTGTGCATTTTCTTGAGGATTAGAAGTGCGGTGTCTGTGTCTAACTGGCAGAGGGTCTCGAGAAGTTGGGTGTCTATAGAGGTAAGGCTCGTTTTTTGGGTGTGCACGAGCGAATTAAGCTGGAAAAGGACCTCGTAAGGTACTGGGAGTGCTAAATTATTAGTGACGATAGGTACTAAATCAGATACGTGTTCGAATTTTAGGTATTCTTCGAGAGATAGTTCCATTACGTCTTTCGAATAGTACGGACAGGTGTAAGTTTCTAAGCTTGATGAGCCTTCGATTTCCCAACAAAGTGAAGTCAAATGCCCGATTGACTTCACTTTGGAGAAATCGGTTGTTCGAACCCAGAGATGGTCAAAGTCTTCTTTGCAGATGTGATATCGGTCGGGTGTGAATTTTGATGCGATGTTTGGTCCGGAGAATTTTTGAATATTTTCGGCGCGTGTTTGAGCTGAAAAGAGAAAACAAAGATGGAAGTAAGATTAACCGAAGAATGTTAGTTTAAAAGATACTTTGATCAGAAACATGGTGCAACACAAACAAAATTGTAAAAATTCATTGAATTATTCAACAAGGAAAAAACTCAAACTGGAAGATATCATTCATAAACTGAAGTGGTAAATAAGTGAAAAACTACAAACTACATAGCAACCTCAACAAAAATATAGCCAAGCATCAAATCAAAGACCACAAGTTTATGAATTGCACCTTTCACCACTATCAAGTTGAATCCAAAATCAAGTAAAAAGTGATACTCCAAAATGTTCACATCTAAAGCTCGGTTTGTTATCTTATCATACAATTCCTAATAGTACTTGATTACTCATTTATAGATTTATTCATTTATTTGACAAGAGTTACATTTTTCAGAGATGAACTAACCATTGATGCCTAAACGCTGATAAATTGACCTCCTTTCTACACAAAACTCTAAAGTTCACTGTAATTTTCTTTTTCATGTGCCCAGATAAACATGCCTCAAATCATATGATCCCAGAAAACACCGCGCATATAGAAAAAAGTTCAACAGAATACAACACAAAATCCAACACAGATACAAATGAAAAACAGGACAAACAATTGCCTATTGATTTTTCCCTTCACCATTGACAACACAAGAACTAAATGCCACAGCACAAAATTGACAAATTCCACCAACTAAAGACCCACCACACACCCAGATAGAGATTGAATGAGAAGACAACTCCATTGAAAGCTGAAAGGACATAAAATCTCAAAACACTTGAGCCAAAAAAAAGCAGGAAAATAAAAATCCATACCGTCAAAAGAATTGCATCAACTTTAGTATCATCACCATCCAAGCAACAGCCTTTAGTCTCAATCACATCCCCAAACTGCACCTCCAGCTTATAACTCTCTCCATCATGATCCACAATAAACTCGAGCTTTTTCCTCTCAGGATGAACCCACAGCTTAACCCCATCCCACGACTCCAAAATCCCCATGCAATCACTCCTTACCATTATCCCAGTAAGTAAAACCAGCCCATCGCCATCCCCAACCCGGTTCCTAGGCTCCACCGGTCGGAAAATAATATCGTTGAAAGAATGTGAAATCGAGAGGTAAAACCCTTTAAAAAGAAGCTTTCGCTCGCCGGATAGAGACAGAGCTTCTTTTTTAGCTCCCGGGACTTCGAATTGGACGCGGCCATGGCCTCTGGATTTCCAGTTCTTGCATTCGGCGAAAATCTCGAGGGCGAAGATTGTGCCTTTGCCTAATTTGGACTCGAGGAAGGTTCGAAGGTCTTGGGCTGTGGCGGACGGCGGGACGTTGGCTACGTTTACTGTGAGTGTGGACCTCTCATTGTTGATATCCATGGCGGTGGAGATGATGGAAAGTGAAATAGAGCGAGCGAAAAAAAAGGGGGTTTTGTCCTCACGCAGATATTTTTTCAACCCTTTTTGTTCTTTCTCTTGGCTGACTACACAGGACCCTAAAATCGCCTCACGCCGCCATAGCTATCGAACAAGCGCCGCGTTGTCGCCGGAGCCGCCAATGTTCGCCGGTGGAATGCAAGTGAATGGTTTTTTATCTCAAAAGATTTTCGTTGGCGAGGTGTTTAATTCTGATATTGGAGAGTGGAATTGAGTGGAGTTTGTACTTAGCATGCTTTTGTGCTGGTTTTTTATATTTATTTGAGACATATTAAGCTTATTGAATATCTTTAAGCTTTGGATAAGTAAGAGTTAAATTTATTGAGTATACGAGCATAATACTTAGTATATTTGTTTATATTTTTATGTAGCTTGCAAATACAGCTACAGAACAACACTTACAGTTTTCAAAAGAAGAAAGGTGGGGACCAGAGTGGGTAATACATTGAGTACGGTATTGATATCATACGCTTGGGATGAGTAGGAATTCAGTTGCCTTAGAGCATATCCTAAGTTCTGATACAGTTTATACGCTTGGGATGAGGAGGCATTCAATTATCTCAGAGTATATCCTAAAGTTCTGATGGAGGCCGTTTGAGTTGCCTTGAGAAATATCCATCAGAGTGTGCACATGTATTAAAGATCAGACCAGTTTAAAGTTTAAAGTTTAAGTTTAAGATACCGGGAGAGAAGTACCGGTTAAAGTTACCGGGTTTATGATTATCTTTACGCAGTACTCACCCCCATGAGTTTATTTTCAGGTAACAGGTTGAGGAAGAGGTGTGAGTGGAGCAGTGCTGGTGTGGATCGTGGATTCAGATTATGACAAGTTTTTATATGGACATTTAAAACAGTCTGTATAATTAATCACATTTTCAAGTATTCGCTATGCATATTAAGATATAACTTTGCATTTTAATAAATTTCAGATTTCAAGTTTTTACCATTCAGAAGTATGAATATGGTACAGTTTAATGCAAGTTAAATAAATCTGTTTTCTTTATGTCTAAAGAAGTATTAGACAAAGTTTAAAGATAAACGGATTTTCAAGAAGATGATGTTGAGTAGCATCCTGAGTTATTCGCAAAAGATTTCGAAAGATTTATAAGTATTTTCGGAGTAAAAGTTGCGAAAAAGTTACTCTGATAAGCGGGGTGTTACAGCGACGACTTCTCGAAGTTTCCCCATCAATCTCACACGATTGTTTCACGAGAAAGAAGAAAGTTGATCTTGTGTTTTTGGGAATACTATCTTATTCTCTCTTAAGGAGGTTCTAAAATAGGACCCCTCACTGGATTAGGAAACAAGGTTTTGGTCCACCTACACCCAATATTTTGTACTTTTTATTACTTTTTGGTGGTTTTATAGTCTTTATTTGAGCACATTTAGACTCGACTTATAGATATTGTGGACCATTAGGTTGATTTTGATGGAATGACAGTAATACAAACGAACAAGATATTGAAATTGGATAGTGGTTACCAAAAACTGGACACTTCTTCTAGCACCAATTTGTTAATGTTGAAAATCAACAACACAAGATTGCAACACATTAAATAATGTCATTTTGTTGAATTAGACAAATTAGAAGATGTAATAAATGCTTTTGTTAAGCTTCTCACGTTTTTCTATTGCTATTGTATTTTTCGTATTTTTTGTATATTTTTTCCATGGTCTAACCTTGTTAAGGTTATTACAACTCATACATTTGATGAGTCATGTACACGTGTCACGTGGTGTAGGGACCTTCTTTATGCGGAGTGATTAGTGGCAGTTTGTCTTTTTATGGATAAGACGTGTATCCGATTCGTGGGCGACAACCTCATTCACACTGGACCCTCTGTCACTAAATGGAGAGAGAACATGAAGGAAGCTATGTATAGGATAAGATTGGCACAAAGGAAGTTTTACGTGATGAATCAAGGCTTTGACTATGGGAGGTAGGTGTCGATGTTATTTTTAAATGAAGGGCGTGTGGTCTTAAATAAGTTCAACGTAAGCACTAGTACAGATTTGTTGTCCTAATTCAGATGACAAAAAATATGCACAACAGAGATTATCTGAAGTTTCATATATGTGCTAACAAAGTAAACCAAAAAAAATAAAAAGATTCATATATTTGCTTCCGCGCAAAACGAACAAGTTAAATGACCGAAAGAAATGAAAGGGTTGCCCTCCCTAGTTGAATGCACCTCATTCATCTGAGAAAATTTAACACAAGATTAACTAAATATATAATTATAATACAAGAATCCAGTTGAAATGGTACCTCTCAACCCTCTATAAGAGTGTTAGACTGGGTAATATCTCACCTTTGGTGTACTATCTTGTACTTGATACACTTATTTGACCTTTAGCCTTCTCATTTCTCAATAATGTGCAATTTCAATACCTCACAATCTTGGTGACTGCGTATATAGCTTCCGCTGCCATTTTTCATTTCAGTCGCTGGATTTGCTAATGCATCCACTTCTCGTGGAAAAAAGGGTTACATCCTCCGCTAAGGCAAGCAAACACTTGTTTTATGTTCGCCCTTGATGGCCGTGCACTAACAACATATTTACATATAAAAACTAGCCGTCTACGCAACTCCATCTTGGTGATTCGTGTCTCATTGAAGGATCTTCCCTCGTCAAAGTGTCCTGTCGATTGAAAAAAATTAAATAACACTCGACTGAAATACTTTCAGAAACTAAGAATGCACATACATTATAATCTAGGTTCTCACCTGCTTCATCATAAAGTGACGTCAGAATTGCCAAACTAACGCAAATGCTTATATCTTCTCCTGATTAAAAAAAAAAAAAAAAAANGATGCTGAGACGAGTATGATGGGTGTGAAATCCCATGAATCGTACTCAGGTACTTCATTCAACCAGATAACAGTTCTTTGTGAAATCCATAAAGGTCTGAGAGGTTTTCTTAAAGATATTGCTAGGGAGGCAATATCAGCTCCACTGGCCTCCAGTTCCTTTGTCCAACCTTCTAATTGCTTTTCAATCATTGCTTTCTCAGATTCTGAAACCCAGAGGGGAAGATGCAAAGAACAATCCCAATCATAGGAGAATTGTTCACGACTGTCGTGTGAATTTGAGGTGGCTGACTCCTGGGGAAGAACATTCGAGGTAGATCTCTTTCGTGTTAACAGTATAGCAAATGTATCTAATCATGTATAAGAAAAATCAACGGGACAATATATAGCAACTAATGTGGATGCTAGAATCCTGCAGAAAATAAATGAAGCAGGAAGATACCCACCCATCACAATGCAGGAAATCAAATAGAGAAAGCAGCTAATATAAGTGCATGGCCACTTATATGAGCTTGAGACAAGCAGTAAACTAAGATCTTGCAAGTGTGTCACTACATTTAAGTTCCGGGAGGAAATCAGATACAATTGACAGTCAGAGCAATATCACGTAAAATACAAAGGAATGAGAGTCAATTTCACAAAGAACTTTCATTAAAACAATCAATGGAAAATCAAAAAGGATAATACACAGACATAAATTTTGAAATATAAAAGAGAAATTTCGGCAAAAATATTGATTTATTTTATGTGATAACTTATTCAGTGAAGCTCATACTTATTTCTTAACTATGAAACGATCATTTTACATGAACTATACTATATTAGTTACTAAATTAAATACTGCACTGCAAGTTTATAATAAATTTTAAGGATAATTATTTCGCAATAAATATTACTTTTGGATAATTGAGCCTTTTAAGACTTTCAGATATTCAACCAGTATGGATAATTGTTACATACATATACTTTCAGATATTCAACCAGACTTATTTCTGACAATTTCATGTTTCATACATATATAATTGTTACGATCCAGAAATAGAAACAAATATGTATCAATTTTGACTTAAACAGATGTGTGAATGTTATGTTCATGTGTACGAGGAGTGTCGAGTAGTTTTTAATTACATGAAGATTGAAAATGCACCCTTATAGTTGGTACCTCATATGTTAATGAGGAAATAAACCTGTGTTCTAGTAAGCACATCTCACTCAAAAAAAGACAACCTTTGATGAATTCAGAATTTAAAGCTGCATACGCCAATAATTTAGGGAGTAAAACCCTATTGTAATGATTTAGGTAGAACTACTTAGAAGATTATGATCGCTTACTCTTCTCGGTCAGTGATTTTGTTTCACCAATGAACTATCCTTAATTTAGTAATTTTGATGGAAATCAGCTATCATGATGAAACAAGAGAAAAAAATAAAATTCCATCAGAACCCAATTTTTCAATTCCCCACAAAGTCATAATGTCCTAAAGGCCAACATTATGGCAACTGTTTACATATAACATAATCAGGTAAATACTCTCTCTGAGAATTCCTCTATGACACTGCTCTACCACACTCTTTAACATTCACTTGTGTGTAGGTGTCGGCTATCTCAGCCCATCAGCNGTAGGCATATAAAAACCAATGATAGTGAAAGCCATTGACAAATTCCAATTTAAATTCATAAGAAGGCACATTGAAATTATAAGGAATACGGTATAATCCACTTACAATATCCGAAGAATAATTGCAGTCAACTCTTGTCCTATACCCATAAATTGCACGGTTTAAAACACAGGTCCAAATTGGAATAGTTTTGGACATGCTGTCAGGAAATCTCTTCCCTTTCCTTGTCGAATCAACAATCATGCATCCTCCCTGCTGTCCTACCAATCAAAAAGCACTGAGACTAGTCACTATACATTATAATATTAAAGAAAATGACTCAACAGATCAACATATGCAGGCACTACACTGATTCAGAACACAGCACATACTTGAAACTAAATCCCATAGTAACGCCAAATTGAACTCAAACATTGCACTATACTATAAGTTCAACTTTGTATGGAAAATCTACGGAACTTTGTCCTTGCAAATGATGAACTCAAAGAGCATAATATGCCTTTCATCCACCAGATAACTCAATAGCTCAACAAGTTATTTTCAATAATCAACTTATTAATGTACAGTTAGCAAGAAAATATAGTATCCATGAGTGAGGAACTATCTATTCAATATTACAACTTCTTACATTTGTATTCTCACTTGTTTCACATAAACAACGAAGGGATCAACAATCTAATCTTTTAAAACCTATTAACTGTGTTATGTTGATTTTTAAATCACTTTGATATTGAAAATCTTTGAATCACCCCCTGACACATCAAAGAAGATCATGTTATGCATTGGATTCAAGTTTCTTGGTTGTCGAACAATTTCATCAATGTAGAATGATTAAAAATCACAGCTGACCAAAATTCCGCTATATACACCCCCAAGTCAGCTGGTGGCCAATGGCAGAAATCCATCACGCAGAACCATTCCATTATGGCAGTACCCTAATCGCCATTTAACAACATTGTGCGTAAAAGTCAACTTTGTCCCTTAGAAAGGACTCATGTGGGATATTTATTATAATTCAGACACTGCATAAAACCAAATTTCCACAACACTGCATAGTGAACCTGACTGGTAAGTAACACCAATAACTCATCATCCTATAGCCCATTTGCAACGAGGGCTCCAGCAGGATTTTATCACTTACAGGACAAATTATCCCAACATGACATTCACCCATAGATGATGGAGAACGAGGTAGACCAGCTTATTATGTTCTTGCCATGCCAGATGGCTAATACTCAACATGAGAAAGCCTACACTAATTTTTCGAATCTGACATCTTGCCTGCACTAGTTATTTACGATATCAGTCTTTTCAAATAAATTGTGGTCAACCCTAAGTTCTGATTCTCTACTTAGGAAAAAGACAGCAGTTTATGGTTAATGTGGTTGCAATTATCCTACAAATCAACAACTCTGTGTTGATAATCTGTGCACTTACGGCTAGGAATGTCCAAAAGCAACAATTTTATGGGATTTCAAGTGACTAATTATGATGGAATTATGTTTCATTGATCAAAGAAGAAATAAACAATCATCAGATATAGAATTCCAAAACCCATATTCTGAAGATAGTAATTCTAGGACATTGCTAAGAACTGGAATTTGGAATATGATGAATTTATCACATGCTTGTTTACTTCCATGTCAACATTTTGTGATCTATGGTGTGTGAGAACTCCCTGTGAATTGTGGAAATATGTTCCTAGACTTTATTATGTTATGAAATGATGCTATCTTATTGAAGTAACCAATGATTCGTAATCATAAATTGAACTTTTCAACTAAAATAATCTTTCAAATTGCAGAAGTCAATATTTATTCCTTGAGAATGGCGTAGTAAAAGGTAGAAAATTTCCGTAGATCATGAGCAATCACATATGTAGCGCAGGAAAACCAGTTTTTCTGATAGCTAAATGATAACAAAGCAATACTATCAATCAATGGATTAACAAAATGAGAATAAGTGGGCATATTCCACATACAATAAAAACATAAAAATGTATAGATAGTCTTACAGAACACACATACACATGAGAGAGAGAGAGAGGATACCAGCGAGGACGGCAACGTGGAGATTGAGGCGGGAAGTGCTGAAAGACAAATTGTTGGTGTGGCCATCGGTGGATTTAAAATAGCAATTGGAGTGGAATTTAGGGTAGTACCAAAGGCCACATCGGAGGTTGGCGAGCAGAGCCAGGTCCGGCCACAACTGAGAGATTTCTCCGATAAAAATGGAGTCCTCATAGATGGAGCGTAAGGCATTGTAGAGACTGCTCTCTCTGCGTTTTATCGTCCTTGATATTTTGTATATGGTTTGCCTCTCCTCCTCCATCGCTGCTTCTCAGTTCCCAATTATGAGCCACTGTATTTCTCAGACATATACAACCCGCCACATACAAATCCCCTCTGCCACACCAACGACGACCAAACAACAAGAATAGACAGCTCAGTCTCAAGACTCTCAACCGGGCTTTTGGTAGCTCGATTTTGGACTCCAGCTACTTAGCTCGAGTTGGACCAAGTTTATTCAGAACCCAATTCAATTCCAATTTATTCACAGCCCAATTTAATTCAAACCCAATCAAATCCAACCTAACTTAATAATAAAAAATTGTTGAAGAATTTACACCACATACTATCCTATAATAATTATATTACACATTTAACACCAATTAATATTTATTTTGAAATTTGCAACTTCAACACTAAAATATTTCACATATACCATTTTTTAATGGCTGAAGTCAATCTGTCAAATTATGGAATGTTTTAATTAATGATTTTCCCTTAGTTATTGGAATAAAACCGCCAACGAGATCTCCAAAATCGAACAATATCATCCCAAAAAATCCCCCATTATCTTTCTGCAAAATCGCGCCGCCAAGATGGACTTTCACGTGGGCCCGGGGCTTCTGAGGTCTCTTTGAGAAAAAAACGGGATTCTTGATGGATCGAGTGGCGGTGGAGTATCCGAGATGGAATTTGCGGATCTGTTCAAGATGACTGTCGAATCCATGTGGTTGAAAAAAAGCAGGAATGCCGAGAATGAGGGTTGAAAATTTCCCAAATGCATATTATCCACTCTTATGGACATGGATATGGGGAGGGTAAGCTTCGATGACCAGGCAATCGCCGCCGTACACCGCCTCGAGTGCCTCTAATTCTGCCCTAATCTCTTCCTCGGCCATCGACGACGGTGGCGAATTCAGCGGCAACTATTACTGCGAACTGTTCAGCTGGCCGATACTACCTATTGACAGATCCCGCAGTTGGATTTTTTTACGGGTCGGGTCAAATTATGTGGGGAAAAGCTTTACCCTTTTTGAAAAAATTGCCCTTTTTGAAAAAATTGCGATGAGGTTGGGGGCTTCTGGACAAATCATGTGCATTTTTTTTCTTTTTTTTGGACTATGCATTTTTTTTGTGTGAAGAGATGGTGAAATTTTTGGACTGTGCATTTTTTTTTTCAGTCGGCGCTTTCCCCTTCTCCTGTCTTGTGGTGGGTCTGGACGGATAGGTCCTTCGGCGGGGGCGGCCCTTGGTCCCGGCAGGGGTGCTTGATACGTTTGCGCTAGTCCAAGCACAACAAGAAACATGTTATTAATTTTTCAACCCTCATATTTTATCGGTCCCCCTGTAATTGAAACTTTGAAGTTTTGTATGGTTTATATTTAGTATATTTTCGGTATATTTTTATCCCCTCATATTGTATCGTGTTGGTATCGTTCCCCCTGTTATATGTATGGTTTATATTCAGTATATTTTTTGTATATGTATGGTTTACATTTTGTAAAATCATGGAAAACATATACAATACATATACCATCATTACGATTTGTATTGTAAGTATATATACCGACATTATATATACCATGATCATGGAAAACATATACAATACATATACCATCATTACGATTTGTATTGTAAGTATATATACCGACATTATATATACCATGATTATGTTTTATATTTTACTATAATCATTGAAATGTATACAACACATACACCAACATTTTTGATGGTATATTTTATGAATATATATTAAACATAAGTGAACATATACTAACATAAACGCAACATATACCCACCCTGAACAGTTGCGTGAATTATAATACATGTTTTTTTTTTTGGTATTTGTAATGGAATATACACGAACAATTAAGGGTGGAGCGTTTTATTTGTATGGTATTCAGAGTTTATAGTTAGTATATTTTCAGTATATTTTCGGTATATTCTCAAAAAGAGTAATATTTAGAAAAAACGATATATATCATTAAAAACGATTAAAATAAACTATATATATACCATTAAAATACTGTATATATACCATTAAAAAACTGAAAAACCCATTTAATGAATTATAAAAGATAAAACAAAAAATATAAAATAAAATAAATGAACCCATTTTTTTTTTTTTTTGAGGTTGAAATGGATATAGTAACTGCCGTTTAGGTACTAATGTAGTTAAATGTGATCTTTTATAACGGAAATCAAGGGATTGAGATTGTAATGGATATGGTAACTCCTTTTAGGCATTAGTGTAGTTAAATGTGGTCTTTTAAGTAAAGACATAATTAATTATATTTACATGGTAGAGTTGTAAATATTTATAAATCACGTAGGAAATATGAAAATTCCCCAAAATTGTTTCTCTCTCTTTCATCTACACAACTCATCTTATCTTTTATCTTCATCCCAACCCAACTTAAAATATCTATTTTATTTTTATTTATTTATTAAGTATATTATCTATAATTGATTTTTGTTTTTGTTATAGTTTTGACAAATTCATTAAAAAATCTATAGTTAAAATTGTAATAATTTTAAAAAATTATTTTACCATACAATTAAAAAAAAATACAAACCCAATTTAAATTTAAATTACACTAAACAAGTTAATAAGGTATTTTTGGAATTGTAAGTTGAGATAATATTCAATATTTGGATTCATATTGTATTTGTTGACAAATTTTAAGAGTTGAGATAATATTCAAAATTTTGATTCATATGGTATTTGGTGGAAATTAGAAAAAATGAAAGGGATGATAATATTAATAAGGTAGAATTAGAAAAAAGATTTAAAAGAGAAATTGCAATCGTGTTTCAAAACCTATCAAATGTCTCTATGTATAGAGAATGGAAAAAAAATACAATTTTTGGTAATTTTTATTTTTTTTAAATATAAATTAACACCAATTATTTTCATTGAAAAATTATTTAAAAGTATTTTATCCAAAAAATTATATTCATCCAATAGGAATGGTTGTGACCTGGGTTGCCGTATATGCACGACTTTTTTTTTTATGTCGTTTTGTGGTAACCCATTGCAATGGGTCACCGATAAACATGGTATTAGATCTCTAGGTCGGAAGGGGGAAAATTAGGAGATGGTCGACCTGAATATCTAAGGATGACCTTATGGGATTTGGACTCTGCCTCCCGAGCTAAGTTGTGAGGGGTATCTTGCTCGAGAGGAAAAGCTAAAGCGATATTTACATATGAATAAGAGAGGATCCTAAGAATTTGGAGATATGGTAAGAGATTTCATATCATACTTCATGAGAATATCTAATCTCTTTGTATCGAGAGAAGTCTTGGAGAATGAGGTAATCATCCTCTATAAAAGATGATGTATGATTGACTATTGATTTTATACACTATTACTCTTAAAATATACCATATACCAGAGGACTGACTCGATCGTCGCTGGCTTTACGTCGTGACTCTTTCAAACGCTTGCAGGTCTCGGTGCAAGGTGGCCAGAAGAGATTCAAAGAATAATCAATTACTCAAGTTGGGTTATTTGATAGATCCTCATTAAATTGGCGCTCTCTATGGGAATTCCCAGTTCTACTACGGTCGAATTAGGACTGAGTTCTCGCATATCATACAAAATTCTTGTTGTATTAATGGCAGAAAATGAAGTGAATAACATGGAACGTGGGTATGACGATACTTGGTTGGGAAAGAAACCCATGGGTTCCGATTCACCTCAAGGGTGGCAAGGCAGTGGCCAAACACCACGTACCCGGACAACTAGGTATTTCACCTCCACGGGATGCCTTTAAAGTGCCAAATGAGGTAGCTTGAGAAACGAGGACAGAAGAGCAACCTCGCGTACACTTGGAATCTTCAAGGGGAACAAAGGTCGGAGAAGGCGAGGAATGGATAACAGTTCGTGTGAAAGAAAATGAGCAAATGGACAGAAAGGTACGAGTAGATACTCCTGCAGAGCAAACCATCCAGATCTTTCAAACAGAGTTGGAGAGGATGATTGTAGATGTGGTGGCAGCGCACACCCAATCTACACGAGCATCACTAGAAGCGACCTCCGACCTCTAATAGGGCTCTCAGGTTCATGAGAAGGTAGGAGGAACTAGAGCGATCAATTAATTCTCCTAATTCTTTGCAAACGCGACGAGACCCAACCTTAGACTGGATGGCATCCCATCTACACGAGCTACAAGAAAAAGTATAGGGGCGGCAAGCTCCACGTCTGCAGTGGCACTGTTCCTCGGACGAGGTTCTTGATGCAGACCTGCCTTATGGATTCTGAGAGCTCAAGTTAGCTTATCATCAGGGGCGGACGCATAAATTTGAAAGGAGAGGGGCACAATTAGGGGTGTGCATCAACGACCGAACTGAATTAGGAAAACCAAAATAACTGAACCATACTATGCCAATAACCGAAATCGACCGAATTATCAATTTAAACAGATCATTAACCAACCGAACTTCTTTGTAGGTTTCCCGACCGAACTATACATTTTGAAATATATATATATATATATATATATATATATATATTATTTGGTCGGTTCGGTTATTTTCATTTATGCATATAACCCATATAGCCCACGGGCAGACGCCCTTTATGTACTATATTGTATTTTAATATTAATGTTCATTAATTAAATTAAATTCATTTTAGTAAAAATTCATAATTCTTAATATAAATAATCAAATAATTAAAAAAGAAAATATATAGAAGGTAATTAGTTAATAGATCCATTTATAAGAGCTAGTTTAATCACCCAAACCCCTCAATTAAAACAATCCAACTAACTACATACAACTATCATTTTTCTTTTAGAAAATAACTAAAATAAAAGATGTATAAAAATCAATCATCTAGTTATGAATTACCATTCCAATGATATTTCATAAAAGTTCATTTAAGAGCCTACAGGGACATTTGTTCATTCTTTCTCTCTTTTTTTTTTTAATATATATTTCTTATATATATAAGCACTCTTAATCCTATAGGGGCATGGGCCCCTGCGGGCCCCTATTTGGGTCTGCCCCTGCTTATCATGGGTCTACTAACCTAGCACTTAAGGGGATTTGAAAATATGGTTGTACACAAATATAGCTACTTGATATGATTTCAGGCATTCCAAGCCACGCTAAAAGGACTTGCACAGGATTGGTTTCATCAACTCCCCCATATGATTTATTCAAGATTTTAGAGGCTTAAGTTGGCCTTAGTCAATTAATTCTTTAGTTGGCACGAGAAGAAATACCTAACACTCATCAACATAAAACAGAGAAAAGGAGTCGTTATGAGAATACGTAGCCCACTACACCAAAAAATGCATCAATGTGCCATTTGCATTAGATGAGGTGAATATAGGAGGATTGACTGGGGGTTGCAACCTGGCCCTTTCCGAAACTCACTGTCTAAATGATCATCAAGGTCTCATGATGAGTTGTTGAAGCGATGCTCCAAATATATAATATGGAAGAAGTGGAGGATGATTTTCTTCCACTCGACCTGAAATAAAAGAAGGATAAAAAATCTGAGTAATGTCGCCAACTTGAGGAGAATAAGTTGGGACATGAGGTAAAACAAGGTGAAGACAGGGGATGAAAGTTGGTCAGAGGTTTGATCGATATACTCTTCTCGACTTTGAGAGGTCAAGTATTTGGGTAATAGGTGGGAAAGGTGCTCTCAGGTTATTAGATCGCCCTGAACCGATGCCCGTGAGGAGGGGGGGGGGGATTCTGACCTGCCAACTAAAGGCTTATTGTAGGTACCATAGGGATTATGGTCAAACTACAGATAACTGTAAGGAATTAAGGACGAGATCAAAAGATTGATCCAACCTGGCAATTTAAAAGAATTCATCTTTAGAGACGGGGAGGTCGAGAAAGAAAAGAAAAAAGGCAATAAGAAAGATCGTGAGGATTAAGAGGAGCGCGAGAAACCCCATAGAAAGAGAGGGTGAATCATATGGTTGCTAGGGGGCCAATGGATAGTGATATAAACTAGGAGAGGAAACGACATGCTCGCAGGGTGGGGCATGAAGATGAGTTAAATGAAGTCCAAGTTTCCAAAGAGGTCCCGCTCAGACAATTTGGATCGGCAGACATAAGGGACGTCTCATCGCCCCACAATGACGACCTAGTAGTCGTTGCAGAGATTGTCAACTATGAGGTTCAAAGGGTGTTCGTTGACACGAATAGCTCGATGGACATATTTTTAAGTCGTTGCTTCAACAAGATGGATTTAGACCTACCGCTGCATCCTATAAAGACTGCATTGTACGAGTTCAGTGAATCTAAGGCAATTCCACTCGAAGAGGTAACGTTACCAATTTCCCTGGGAACACCGCCGTTCAGTAAGGTAGAAATGATAGATTTTTTGTCGTAAAAGTGGAGTCAACATCTTTTCGTCGTGTGCACCCAGTGTTTGCCTGCAAGCCTCGCCTTCACATGAGCTTCCCTCGTCCCCCTGCGTGCGCTCGTCCCAGCGCGCCTAGTGACCATGCCCACGTGCCTCGCGCGCCCATGCCTCGCACGGATTTTTCGTGCGCGTGCCTTTGCACTCGCTCGAGCTCCCCTCGCGCGTACCCGCTCCCTCACGCGACTCTCTCCTTCAGGCCCGCCACCGTTCGAGGTTCTCGGGTCGCATTCGCGCACGTCTATCCCTTCGCTTCCTTGCGCATCGTCCCACACTCGCGCCCCCTCGTGCGCGCTGTCCTGCGCTTGCACTCGCATCGCCCTTGCCGCATACGCGTCGACCCGTGTCGTGCTCGCGCGCCTCATACTCGAGCTCGCGCTCATATCCAAGGCCATGAGCTTGTTGTTTTGGGCCTTTGCACGCTCTCGCACGGTCGATGACGCCCTCGACCTTTTGCGTCCTTAGGCGTCCAAACCTCCATTCGCATCACAGCTGCCGGGTGTTGAAGGGCTTTACTCTGTTTTGTT